ATTTTCTTGAGCGTGTACAAAATGCTTCTATGGGAGCATACTATAGAACAACTCCCTAGGGCAAAAATTTAACTTGGCAGGATTTTTTTGGATTCAAAATTTTAGACCCAAGTATCATAAGATGGTTATTTTCATGAAATAAATTGGGATCTTAAGTTCTTAAGTACCTAGTGTCATAAGATGATTATTTTCATGAAATAAATTGGGATCTTAAATTCTTAAGTACCTTGCTCTTGAAAATCGGACAGTTCTTGTTGGACGTTTTTCTTTTTTAGGTATATAGAGAGTCGTATTTTTTTTTGTTGGATATTAATTATTAGGTTTTAGAGGATACATCACTAAACTTGGGGTCCAAAAATATTCCAATATGAGTTTTACTTTGAGGAAGAAAATACATAATATGCTCCAGAGCAGCAAATCTACTAACCCAAAAAAAGAGCAGCAAATCCTTTCACAAATTCCCTCATCAAAGGGCATGAAGAAAACTACTTTTAAGAGAACTTTCCATTAGGATTAAGGAGATAGAGGAAAAAGAATTTGACGAAAGAGTGTGTACACCATATGCTCCCAAGAGAGCACATAATGTACATCCACTCCCTCGATTAGAAGACCTACTTTGGAGGATTTTTTAATTTGAAATATTAAGAACCACTTAAGCATTACTTTCAAATGAAAAGGAAATGAATTTTGAGTTTTTTTACACTTAGTTCTTATCATTTGAAAAATGCGGTCTCTATTCAATGTAGAGAGTACAATCAGGATTTTATTTAATTTTTATTTTTAGATTGAGTTTTAAACGTGGCTTGAAGATATGACATACCTAAAATATAGGGTTGTAAGGTTCCGGAGATTAGATCCAACCTCTGGTCCGGGTCCAAAACATAGACCCGAATACTACTTGGTCCAGGTCCAGGTCTTGTCGGACGCAACCTAAACCCAAATAGTATGGGTGCATGTGTTATTCATAAATGTTGCCAATACATTTATTTTTTAGAAATTTTCAGTTATTACGTAAAATAGTAAAGAATATGCGTATTAATAAATGTTGTGGCATACTTTAAATATTCGCAATAATATGGGTGTATGATGGTAAGAAAAGATAAATAAATAAAAAAAAAAAACTCATAGTTATAGCCCACCTCAGTGGGTGGCAATGGACCTTACCAGCCCTAGGCCTTGACGGGTAGACCCGACCTCGGGTCTAGATATAAGTCCAAATTTTGGACCCGAAAAATCGGGTCCGAGTCCAAAACTTGGAATACTATTTAGGTCAGGGTCCAGGTCCTGTCGGACCCGACCCGTTGCCACTCCTAGTTCTAAAGCTGGTTCTATGTTAGGTTTTTCCCGAGAGCAATGGAGTATCGAATCGTTTGGCTTTAGTGAAACAGTGGCAAGTCAAGACTAGGAAGAATAATTTGGATACAAACAGGCTCTCAAAATGTGATGGGGCTGCTGCCTGTTTTGTCCCAACAGGAAGTATCTAACCTCCCTCTCCAAAAACATATCCCTCTCTCTCTCTCTCTCTACTAAATGATGCAAAGTACAAAAAAGAATTCATGCCTTTTTCTTTATACATAAAAAGTATGTCGTTTTATACGAAAATGACTATAGCTTTGAGAAAATATAACCACCCGCATTATAATGGCATGATCTTTTTTGGATTTATTCAAAATCCAAGTTTCCGATGCTAAGTAGTTTTAAATATGAGGACAGAAACGAAGTTAATATTTCCAATGTTTGGATTCTCTAGTTTGGATCATTACTTGTAAGCAAAAAATTCATATAAGATAAGGCGCACCTCGAACAAAAAGATTGTTTTGAAACGGAAAACCCTCTAATTAATCATCTCAAGTTCTAGATGTACTGACATTAAAAAATAAAAAATAATTCAACCCTTGAATATAGTATATTTGTAATACATTATTTATAGCATTCATTTTCTTCAACCTCAAAATAGATTCATATTTTTTGAAACTGGAGAAAGAAAATGTGGATTTTAATTTTTATTTTTAAATAACTTGAGTTTTCTAAAAACTAATATTTTTTTTGCCTCGGTTGAGCTAGTTTGAACCTAACAAGACCTCTCATGGATTTAGTGGTTGGTCACGATCTTGATCATATTTGTACGAAGTACCTAGCATGAGGGGTTTATCATAATTTGAAAAGCATGAGAATTCAATCAATAATGTCAATGGAGCACCACAATTAAAAAGATAAAACAGAAGATTCACAAAGATTTATATCATTAATTATTAATATTCATCTACGAGCAAAGACAATCAATGATTTAAATATCTTGACTCCAAATATATAAAATAGCTCTCGCAAAAAATATATAACATAGCCTTAAATACATGAAAACCTTACATATAGAGTCTCAATCCCAAAACTTAAACCTCCAGAAACATATACATATGCTAACCCCATTGGGACAAGAGAGCGGTGGAGATGGACATTCATCCATTGAGTGCACAAACGCATAGGACTGGTCCATCTCCATCCATCGTTGGAGATCAACGGTGCAGATATACTATGAAGGACTTTCTCTTAACACAATTATACGAGGGTATATGTATATTTTTTGAGAAATTTATATAAATATATTTAAAATTAATTATTTCATATTTGCACAATTTTACATATTCTCAACCACACTTACCAAGACAAGACTGAACCCAATTGATACATGGGCCGGTCTAGTCTAAATAAAAAACATGCCTTGATGAAAAACTAGTCAAAACCAGTATTTGATTGGTTTTGGATGTTCCAAACAGCCAACTCAACTAATCGGCCAAAACAAAATTGGGCACTGTGTTTTTTAATATATTACATATTTTTAAAGTGTTGTTTATATTTTTTATATATAATTTAAAATGCATTCAATCCAATTCGATTGGTTGGACCGATTTTGACTAGAGCAATCCCTTTGTTGGTTCAATGACTAGTTCCGATAACACTGTTGTTTTCAACCGTTTCAACTTATGAAGATGCATTTTCTTTATGGGCTTTTTGATATTATATAAAAATAATAAATAGTTCATGTCTTTGATGTATTTTGACAGATTTCCCTATTTTTTTGGCAGATGCGTGCTCGTTCATTAGGAAATTGAACGTACAAAATAATCCCAATTCATGGCTTCTTTGATGTTTTTTACATGGAAAAAGAGAAAAGAAAATAATTACCCAAAAAAAAGAGGAAATAATAAATTTGGAATTTCCAAATTAAGCGGGATTCATGTGACCGCTTTGCTTGCCCACATTCGTGACCAAAATTATGGGTCGATTTTTATTTCATTTTCAACCGTTTCTTTAGTTCTTTAGTCAGTTATTGTCTGTTCAGAAAATTTTCTAAAATGCCCTCCATGGGGCCATAAGCACGAGAAACAAGCCTAAAGCCCAGGCACAGGGCGTGGCCCGGGTCACGAGAATCCGGAATTCAAGGGGTTGCTTTGGCCGTACAGGGGTATTTTAGTCATTTAAAATTTTATGGCTTGCTTTAACTGATCACTAAAGGTTGAGTTTAACCTAGAATACTTCTTTACTACTTGCACGCATGTCATTTATTAGGGTGGGTCATCTCCATAACCCTAGACTTTCTTCCAAACTTCAATGTAATTAAGTGTTTAACAAGGGAAAACGCCTTTAGCATGTATTTGGCCGAAGCGGAGCGAATTTGACACCAATAAATTTATGTTTTTTGCGGTCCTCATATCATGCTCTTTACATGTAAAAATTTACTCAAACTTTATTCTTTTCTTTGGATAAAATAAAATGTACTCAACTAAAACCACAACATGCTTCTCATGGCACTCTTCATAATTAATTTTGTTGGTATCAACAGGGTGGTCATAAAGTTTGTTTTGACATGCCAAATGACCATGTATATTGGTGAGAGCAATGTTTCAAAGAACGCGGTGCAAATGGGAAATCGCCTCAATCGGATTAGTAATCAAATTAGACCAATCCGGTTCTGGCCAAGTATACTATTGGAACTTGCCAGCACCCCATGAAAACCCTCCTCATATTTCTTTCATATTTTATAGGTGTATTCCATTATTTAAAACCTCATGCAACTTCTTTCACTTTTATTTTAATTTTTTTGTTTTAAAATAATTTTCGAAGTCCTTGATATACAAATCAACAATCCAAACTTCATCCCATCCATCCAGTTTGGGTTACAGAATGAGGATGCTTTAGTTTCCTTAATGTGTGGCCCAAACTTTCTCTGTGTCTCAACATGCGTATAATTAATATTTTTGTTTAGAGACATTCAACTATCTAATTTGGTAGTTCATTAGGGATTATATCATGCAACAATTATAGTATGGTGCACCATGTGTTGTTATTTTCGGCTTACTCTCATTCAATCCAAATCGAACATAGGTTTTGAAACACATATCAACCATACTATATATGGAGATACAAGGATTGAATTCCCTTTGTATCCAGTTATTTGTGTCTAGTGACTTAGAGAAAAAAAAAAAAAGAGGGTTTTCTTTTTTTGCGGCAATGTTAGATAATGATAAGAATAAAACTTAACAACCAGAAGTAAGTCTTTTTTTGCGGCACTGTTGGAGAATGATAAGAATAAAACTTAAACCACTAACAACCAGAACTAAGCATGTTCTTAACCTTTAGAATCATAATTTTTCATGCATTGTATGGGGACTTGGATGAGCTATAAATTTTGTCAATCTAACTGACAAGTCATTATAGATAAGTAAGGGTTTATATTTGTCAATTATCCCTAATTCATAAATAGCCTCGCCATATTTCAGGCGTTTGACCTGCCGACTAAGAAGTCGGGAAAAGATATTGAAAGTAGGGCCGCACTTTCTAATCGCCGATTACTTGAAATTCAACGATCTCTAAGAACGTCAAAGTCTAGCTAATACAAGCCAATGGTTCACACGGACTCTCTCTCTCTCTCTTACTTTAATACCATGCAAAGACCCTAATTTTCTCGTATTAATACCCTCCTCTCTCTCTCTCTTAAAACACCCCTCTCTTCCTCACTTTTGCAGAGACTTCAGGCCCCAAGAGCGGTTTTGGCACCGTCCAAAACCTCCTGCTCTGGCCCAAAACCAAAGTCTCCCAACCCCAATCCCTGTTTTGTCACCCTTAGATCCCTCCCCCCAAAACCCAAGAGTGGTTTCAGTCCTTTAAAGACCTCCTCTCCAAACCCAAAAGCTGTTTTCCTCCCCAAAAACCATAATTCCATCGCCCAGAAGAGTGGTTAACGTGATAGAAAGATAGATGGAAAACAGAGATGGAGAGAGCGGGACGGCAGTTTCCGGCTACGATTCGACGCACAGAGATGAAGACGAGAGAGATGTGCTCTCGGTCGAGCAAATATTCGAATCGAAGACGATTCCGCCGTGGCAGGAGCAGCTCACATTCAGGGCTTTCTTTGTGAGCTTTGTGTTGGGAGTTATGTTTAGTGTGATTGTGATGAAGCTGAATTTGACGACTGGTATAATTCCAAGCTTGAATGTGTCTGCTGGTTTGTTGGGGTTCTTCTTTGTGAAGAGTTGGACAAAGTTCTTGGAGAAGATGGGGCTTTTAAAGCAACCTTTCACTAGGCAGGAGAACACTGTTATTCAGACTTGTGTGGTGGCGTGCTCGGGGATTGCTTTTAGTGGTGAGTTTTCATCTCTCTCTCTCTCTCTCTCTCTCTCTCTCTCTCAATCGCTCTCGTTCTTTCTCTTCGTTTAGTTGTGTTTTCATGGACCTCTCTCTCTAAAACTCTCTCTTCCTGCGTTTAATGGTGAACTTTCATCTCTCTCTTCTGCGTTTAATGGTGAGTTTTCAACTCTCTCTCTCTTCTGCGTTTAATGGTGAGTTTTCATCTCTCTCTCTCTTCTGCGTTTAATGGCGAGTTTTCATCTCTCTCTTCTGCGTTTAATGGTGAGTTTTCATCTCTCTTTCTCTCATGCACACATGCAGAGACTGATGTCCCAACTTATCTGTCAATAACTAGTTTTGGGTCTATCTCATTGATGCTTGATAGAATCTGTGTATTCTGACAATTCTGGTTTTTGATCTTTCTCCCTAATCTCTCTTGGATATTTCGGAATGTTCATATTCTCTCTCATGGATCGTCTTCTATTTTTTCCATTTTTTACTTTATTCTCTTTTACATGGATCTTGTCTATTTTCTTCAAGAATAAATAAATAATTCTGTTTTATTAAATAAAAATTGATTTCTTATTCTTTGCTTGATTTGTTTTATTCACTAATAGACTTCTTCATACTTTTTTTGTCAAATGGAATTGATTTCTTAGCTTGATTTTTTCTTCTTTCGATCCGGATTCGATTCTGGGGATCGATGGTCAAGTTCAGTTTGATTTCTTTTGAGATGAGCTTCCTTCTTCTTGGCCAATAATATCTTATTATTTATTTTTGGATATTATTGTAGTTATCGCTCCCAATAACATTGTTTATTGGATCAATTTTGGATCAATTGTTCATTTGATTTCTTTTGCGATGAGCTTCCTTCTTGTTGGCCAATAATATCTTATTATTTATTTTTGGATATTATTGTAGTTATCGCTCCCAATAAAATTGTTTATTGGATCAATTGTTCATTTGATTTCTTTTGCGATGAGCTTCCTTCTTGTTGGCCAATAATATCGTATTATTCTTGTTGGATATTATTGTAGTTATCGTTCCCTATGGGATCAATTGTCCATTTAATTTTACCTTTTATTAAGCTTACTCCTTTCCATGCTCCTTCTACAATATAGAAGTTCTATCTTCTCCTTATCCAACCCTCCATTTCCTCTATCCTCACTCTGCCCCCATCACAATGTCACGTCTCTACACTATTTTATTTTTAATTTTTTTTAATAAACTATTTTGACATCAAATCACAATGTCACATCTCAACACTATTTTATTTTAAAATTTTTTCAATAAACTATTTTGACATCAAATTTTGGATGTCCATTCCCTCTACACTAGCGAAAAATAAAAAAAATATTTTCAATAACATAAAATAACTAAAATACCCTTAAAATTCTCAAGGGATATTTGGTCATTATATTTTATAGAAAATTTATTTTTAATATTTTTTATATGTGTCTTGTACAAGTGAAAAATAAAAAAATTATTTTCAATAAAATAAAATGACTAAAATACCTTTAAAATTTTCAAGAGGTATTTGGTCATTATATTTTATAGAAAATTTATTTTTAATGTTTTTTATAGGTCTCTCCCAATAAGAAGAAGGCATGTACCAAATTTCATATTCATACAATTTGTATAAAAAAATAAAATAAAATACTTTGAGATGTAGGATCTAAGATCAAACGGTGGGTGGCTCTCTTGATCAAAATTGAACGGCTGGATGGTAAAAGAGAATAAAACTTCAGCTTTTTTCTTATCTTTTTAATCCAAACAATTTTTAAAAAAAAAAAACAATTTTTTTTTAAAAAAACAAATTTTTTTCTAACCCTCTCCCCATTACTGCCCTCTCTCTCCTCTCCGTGAATCACCCACAAGAGAGAAAGGGTCTATTTCACCCAACTCTTTCTCTCTCTTCTCCTCATGGATCACCCACTAAATAGAGAAGACTTGCGGAAAAACAAAGAGAGAGGGATCTAGGAAGGAATAGTAGAAAATAGGGTGAGAAGAAGGGATTTGGGAGATTCATGGAGAGAGAAAAACATGTAAAGAGAGAGAGAATTTATTTTTATTTTTATTTAAACTAAAAACCAAGAAAATAAAAATAACTAAAAATTTATGTTAGGCCGAAGAGATCCTTACTTTACAAGGAAAGAGATACACGAGAATTTTTCAAAATGCATTTCCACTTGGTATCCATATTCCTGGAGCTTGAATGAATAATAAATTAATTAATTACACACATCCCTCAAAAAAAATTAAAATAAATCTAGTTTTAAAGCAAGGTTCCGAAAGACGTTTCGGCCAAGGGACTTGCCCTCAGTTGAGTCGAGTTACTCGAATCTGCCCATGTCTTGCACTGGGCCAAAAAGCCATTGAAAAACAGAAAAACAATCAGAAAAAATATAGAAAAAGTAGAGAAAGTAAAATAAATAAATAAAAAATAGAAATAAAAAATTATATAAAATAGGTATTATGGCACAAAACGCTTGCTAAAAACAAAAAAGTCACATAAAAAAAATTCCATACAACAGTTCTACATTTTTTTTAATCAGATTTATTTATTTATTTATTTTTATATGCCCCATAGTTGGGGTAAGTCCGAGTAACTCGCCCAATAGCCTTGGGATCGGTCGTCAGAACATTGTTTTAAAGTTTGAAACCCATTTTTTTTCAAATTCATAATTGTGATAGTGAAAATGATTCTCTAATTTCTATTTGCTATGGAAGCATGCATCTGCCCTCTCTCTCCCAAATTTTGTAAACTGATGAATGCCTAATTTCTTCATTTTTTAATGGAAAAATGAACAGGTGGTTTTGGGAGCTACTTGTTTGGCATGAGTGAAACGATTGCCCATAGATCAACGGATGGACCCATCGACCCACAAACCATTAAGAACCCGGGCTTGGGTTGGATGATTGGCTTTCTTTTCGTCGTCAGCTTCCTGGGCCTCTTCTCCATTGTCCCCCTCAGAAAGGTTAGCATTCCAACTTCTTACTGTAATCCCTTTTTTTTTCTTTCTTTCTTTTTTTCTACTGTGTGGGTCTATAGAGTGAGTGCACTTTTTTTTTTTTTGGTTTTGACAAAGAAGAAAGAAAATTTTTAAATTGATTATTTGGACCCCGACAATAATAAATGAAAAAGGACCTCACGCCCTAAGAGTGGTCTGATTTTAGGATAATATTCTTGAACCATCCATTTCTCAAGTCTTCATGGCTTAGGACCTTTCAAACAGGATCGCATTGAAATCATATATTTTTCACTGATTTTGTGTTTTCAGATTATGGTCATCGACTATAAGCTTACTTATCCAAGTGGAACGGCTACTGCTCTTCTCATCAACAGTTTCCATACGCCTCAAGGAGCTAAGCTAGTCAAGTCAGTAGCTCCAAAACTTCCTCTATTTTCTTAATTTAAAAAAGAGTAATGATCTAATAGGACTTCCTCCACTGTGTAGGACCTTAAAGCATCACCATTAAAGTACCATTAAAGTTGATAATGTGTGTAGGATCCCAAATGATCATCATTAAAGTTGATACGGATTTCTAAAGAAATTATCAAATGAAGAAGTTATCACATGGGTGTGGACTTGACATTTCTATAGATCAGTATTTTGGGTTCCTATACACATAGGTGGGGGAGGGTCCTATAAGATCATTTCTCATGACAACTCTCTCTCTCTCATATCCTATGTTTGTTTCCCATATTTTCCTACACTCTCTCCCTTGTTTTCTCTTAACCCCCACTCCAATATTTCCTATTGTCATCAGTTTTTTTCCCAAATAATCGGTATCAGCTATCAGCTATACAAATCTTGTTATGTCATTTTACTCATTCTACTCTATTAAGAGTCATACCTTGTGAGGTTATAAATCCATAAATTTTTTCTCACTACTTCAAATCATATCTTTTTGGGTACCTTTTATTCTTTTTATCCTTCAACTTGAACTAACTCGCACTTCTTGATATTGCATTGAGTCCGTACCATACATTGCCAGTCCACTTAAGTTTACTCTTTCATCATCATCATTGTTATAGTCTTTTTTCAATTAATTGGAATCAGCTACACGAATCATGGTCCTCTATTTTGCTTTATTAAAAAATAAGCAGATAATGTAGTTGTAGGATTCATGATAAATTTTGATAAAATTTTACGTTGGATGCCTACCTAATACAACTCAACCCTTTTACCCAAGCATAAGACAAACCAACCCTTTTACCCAGGCATGAGATGGGTTAAGGGAAAGTTTACTATCTCTCATCTTATTGCCTATTGGTGCCACATGCATTTCTTACAATTTGCCCCCTAGATTTTGTCCCTTCTCTCACATTTTCTACTAGTCCCCATCCTTCCTGCATTTCCTATTGCATGCCCCCCTATATTATCCTCTCTTTTTTCTCTCTCTCTCTCCCCTATTTTCTACTTTTCTTAATTTCTTTCATGAATTGTTTTACCAATTTTATAGGAAACAAGTGGGGGCTTTGGGTAAATTCTTCTCCTTCAGCTTCTTGTGGGGATTCTTCCAATGGTTCTTCACAGCAAGTGATGGATGTGGATTCGCAAGTTTCCCCTCATTGGGCTTAAAAGCAAGGGATAACCGGTAAGAATTCATCCCCATTGCACACATAAATAAATAAATAAAGTAGACAATAAGGCAATCTAGAACTAGGTAATCATAATTAATCTTGACCATTAAATGTGAAGTTGACTGGCTGCATTATTTCATTGACCAAACTCAAAGCTTAAAGGAAATTTTCTTAAACTTTGTGACACAACCAAGCTATGAGATTTCACATTGGATGGTTATAAATAATTGTGACCTCCTTCTACAACACAAGTTGTATTAAGGTAAATAGTCTCATTGCATGCAATCCCATAAATAAATATTGCACTTCCAACATTACATTTTGATTTTACCTTTTGATTAAGGAAAAATATAGAAAGAGACCATTATACCTTTGGTACAAGGTGGTCATAGTTAATCTTGACCATTGGATGTGAAATTGGATGGCTGCATTTATTCCATTGACCACGCTCAAATTTCAAAAAAATTTATTCCATTGACCACGTTCAAATTTCAAAGAATATTTATTGAACTATGTGACACACCCAAGCTATCAAATTTCATATCGGATAGCTGTAAGTAATTGTGATCCCTTTGTATCAAAAGTAAATAGTCTCATTTCACATCGGATAGTTGTAAGTAATTGTGATCCCTTTGTATCAAAAGTAAATAGTCTCATTGTATACAATCCTGGTAACCGATTGTCTACAAAGGTACTATTTACATGGAGGTCACAATCATTCTTATCCCTTATTTTTCAAAATGGGTGGTTTTAATAGGGTCACTCAATAGTCACAAAATTCCAAAAAAAATAATTATCGGACTTTGTGACTCACCCCAAGTCATCCAATTTGACATCTGATGAATTAAAATGATTGTGACATTTACGTACAAAAAATAAATGGTCTCTTTATAGACAATCACTTTATAGTGACCACCAATATTGAGTGAGTTTCGGAAATAGACTCTCGAGAGATTTGCCTGACGAAACTCTAGCTTAATTCATGAGAAGAGTAATATTATATCATGAAGCTCCCTCATTGTTTTACTCAAAATAAATTGAGAGAGAGAGAGAGAGAGAGAGATATTTTATCAAAAGAATTAACACTGTGATGAAACTCTGTTTTCACACTCCAGTAGGAGAACCAAAGAACAGAGAAACACAGGGAAGAAACAAAGAACACTAGCAAAAACTAAATAATCACAAACTTAAAGAAAATCCTGACTTTATATGAGAAATCATTTTATCACTTAACCATATCACTTAACCATCAATGGCCTAACATGTAGTATAAAATTTGCAGGTTTTACTTTGATTTCTCGGCCACTTATGTTGGGGTGGGGATGATATGCCCCTACATTGTGAATGTGTCTTTGCTCTTGGGTGCTATTCTTTCATGGGGGATCATGTGGCCTCTCATTGGGAATAAGAAGGGAGACTGGTACAGTGCTGATCTTAAAGATAGCAATCTCCATGGACTTCAAGGATATAGGGTACCACCTCTCTCCTTTTTCAATCTCTATCAAAATTGTTTGATTTAAATAAACTTATAAGAGACAAGAGACAAGAGATGAGGAATAACATACCTGAAAGTTGTAATTCTTTCTCTTTTCTGTTACTCCTTATCTCTTATTGCTTCTTATCTCTTGTGTCTTACAATATAGTTGTTTTTCACTGGAAAAAGATCCGGTGGCAGTCTAGCTCGACCAGTGCAGGAAAACTCAGTCCAACTTTGGTTGTCTAGTCTGGAATTTTCTTGATATTTAATTATATATATTATTCGGACTCGATATAATCAGACCAACATTACCCTGGGTTGGGGCCGAATTCGATTTCATGTTTTCCGACTCTGTGCCCATGTTAGGGATTTGTTTGATCATTTTTGGATCATCCTTATTGATCCCTAGAATCAATTATAAACAACAAAGTTTGACCCCTCTCAAGATCAAATCTCCCACTCTAGACCCTCCATCTGATGTTCAATAAAATCTAGGTGTCTAAGGGCACGTACTCTTTATTTTATTAATTTTTTACAAAATTGTTCCCATTGCAAATCAACGCTATATAAATATTTTCACATTAGAAATATTCCCCAACTATGGTTACCATTCTACCCGAGTCTTTTTTTACTGACTAATATATTTTATGTACTCCCTTGATTTAGGAAATTGATTGTTGTATCTTCTCTTTGAAATTTCAGAGCTAAATATTGAATATATTGATACTCTGATCCTTTTCTCCCTAAGTTTCTGTGTAATATGTTTCTTTATTTGACCGTTATTATGCATTCAATTTGAGCTCATGTTCTTCTATCATATTCCTAAAAATCTTCGAAGCAAATGATAAATCAAAATTAAGAAAATCATGAGCTTTTGGAGAAATTCAAAGAATTTTTATAGAAAAAGGAAACAATGGATTACTAGTGCTGCACCAAAACGAAACATAAATCATCTTTTCTTGAGAAAAAAAGAAGAAAACAAACAAATTTTAAAACAAATTTGATATCACATGGTTCGCCGTTGCCCTTTTGCACAGGTCTTCATCGCAATCGCCCTGATCCTGGGCGATGGGCTCTACAACTTCGGCAAGGTGTTCTTCAGAAGTGCACAAGCCTTGAACAAGCATAGAAGGACCCAAGCCATCATCCCAGTTTCTGGAGCCACCTCTAGCGCCGACACCACTTCCTACGACGAAGAGCGCCGCAAGGATATCTTCATGCGCGACGGAATACCCAACTACATTGCTGCCTCTGGCTATGTTGTCCTCGCAGTCATCTCCATTGCAGTCGTCCCCAAAATCTTCCCCCAACTGAAGTGGTACCATGTTTTGGTAACCTATTGCTTTGCCCCAATATTGGCTTTCTGCAATGCATATGGTTCTGGCCTCACTGATTGGAGCTTGGCCTCGACATATGGAAAATTGGCCATATTCATCTTCGGAGCGTGGGCAGGGGCGGCCCATGGTGGCGTTCTCGCCGGCCTGGCTGCATGTGGTGTCATGATGAGCATTGTCTCGACGGCGTCGGACCTGATGCAGGATTTCAAGACTGGTTACCTGACATTGGCATCGCCACGCTCCATGTTTGTAAGCCAGATAGTTGGGACCGCAATGGGATGTGTGATCGCTCCTAGTGTCTTCTGGCTCTTCTACAAGGCATTCAATATTGGCGCTGCGGATTCTGAGTACAGCGCCCCATTTGCTACCGTCTACCGCAACATCTCGATTCTCGGTGTCGAGGGCTTCTCATCACTGCCAATGCACTGCTTGACCCTCTGCTTGGTGTTCTTCTTGGGCGCGATGGTTGTCAATTTCTTTCGCGATGTGACTCCCAAGAGCATTTCGCAGTTCATACCGATACCGATGGCAATGGCAATCCCTTTTTATATCGGGGGTTATTTCGCAATCGACATGTGCATTGGTAGCTTGATTCTGTACCTGTGGGAGAGGACCGACAAGAGGAAGGCCGACGCTTTTGCTCCAGCCGTAGCCTCAGGATTGATATGCGGTGATGGAATATGGACGCTGCCGGCCTCGTTCCTCGCACTCGCGAAGGTGAACCCTCCAATTTGCATGAAGTTCTTGTCTAGGTCAGTGAATGCAAAGGTGGACACCTTCTTGGGGGGTTAGAGAGATGAAGAAAATTATGGTGGTTGTGTTAGAGAGAGAACGCTTTGTGATGATGAATGTAGCAGGGGTATTATTGTACAGGATCAGGGGACTATATCAGGGGAGGAGAAAAGAGAAGTGATGATTGGTTGGTGTTATTTTGGGTTTTTTTCTAGTTTTGAACTTTTTTGTCCTTAAGAATGTGTTTATGCTGGTTTGTTAGGTTGGTTGAAATTGGATTATTAATTCAAGTCCTTGATTCATAGAATTGTAAATGGTGGGCTTTAATTTAGTATGTGCTTCTCTGTTTATCTTTGGTTGGAGTTATGCTTCTTTCTCTTTTCTCCATTTCTTTCTTGGATTGATCAGCGGAGTTGATAATTCCTTGGTTTGGATCAGAGTACAAATCAGAACCGACCCGACCCAACCCGTCTGTTCTGCCCTCACCTAACAGTTCCTTCGTATAAAGACTTAACTTTTACTCTTTTGCAATGGAAAACCAAATATAGTTTTTTATGTTTTTTTCCTTTTTTGAAGTGTTTTACTTTCATTAAGATAATTCAGAAGTAAGAGATGAATTTTTGAGACTTCTTCCCCATTCAAAGAGAGGCCTATCAGCAACGATGATTCAGTTGTAATTCCTTAGCTATCTCTTGATTCTTCGCTCTGTATGCATGATTATAAAGTTCTTTCTCCATCTCTAGCTCCATGATTTCACCTTGAACCGAACTAAACATCCATGGAGGTCTGCCGCTCCTTCGACAAAACTGAGTCATGGAATCGCCCTCCAGTATCATCCTTTAATTTTCAACAGTTAAACATTTCATTTCCTGCAAAAGAGATTTGAGTTACACCTCATTAGCCATCCATTCTTACAAATGGCCCAAGAATGTGAGCAATGTATTATCTTTATTGTCTCTCAGAGTATCTCCAATACCTGCAACTTGAGGATTATCTCTCACGCTCTCATAAAATTAAGTTTCTTCCATCTATCCAGAGGGGACTACTGCCATCTTCCCCATCACTTAGGCTTTCTATAGCACAGCTTTGCAATTGCTTCAGTGTTAAACATAATCTCTTCCTTGGTAACCCCTGCAAATTTTTTATTTTTGCCCCTTTTTTACCAGTAAAAGACAATTTTCAGCCTTTTAATGAAGGGTTGGCTCATTTTGAGCCATTTCAGTCGTGAAATTACAAAATTGATCAGTTTTCCAAGATCTACAATATCTAATGCTCAAACTTTCAAATAGAAACTCTTATGTCTTCGAACTTGAAGTATTAACTTGAGTTTTTTTGTCGAATCTGAACCCCAATGTATCTGATTTGCAGTTTTAATCCAAGAAATCATTAGGGATTCAACCAGCTTTCTTTCCCTCAACAAACTGCAATAATTGCATTTTTCAAAATTCTCATAGTTCATTTTTGTTATATGGCGAGCCGACACACCCCAATTAGGTGAGCTTGCTTGAGACTCCATAAGCACTTGGTCGAGTTGGCCACCAATTTAGTTATTTCCCAACAAACAAGGGAAAAAGTAGAGGGTGTGGTTGGCATGAGGTTGCAACCTTAAATGATAAAAGTCAGGTGCACCTCCAAACTTTATCGTAAGATGCAATTTTAGTGTGGGTAATTCTTATGATGACTTGACAATATGCTTTCATGATTAATTGTAAAATTTGATAATTTAAAAATAGTTCAAATCGTGCACATCTATAAACATAAAAAAAAATTTAAAATGGCTGATCCAGATAAAGATAATGTACTTAAAATCGTTTTTTACCATAAGAAAATTTTTAAAATGGATGATCCAGATAAAGATAATGTACTTAAAATCTTTTTGTACCATATTCACAATCATACATCTTGAGGTTGACGTTATTAGTAAGATGGTTTAGCCACATCAAAAGAGACTTTCTCAATGAGTTTTGAGGTGCACCTTCATTCTACGGTATAAGGTGTCAAACTTATATAAATTTTTTTCAAAAGTTATAGACTTTTTTCAAAAAGTTAATATAAGGTTACAATTTTATAATGTAGAAATAAGGCGCACTTTAAAAATCCAGTAGAAAGGAGTGTTTTGAAGTTGAAAAACCTTTCATCTCAACTTCGAGATATATAGATATAAAAGAAGAAAAGAATTTCAAATTTTAAAATATAATATCTTGCAACACGTTATCGAGACTATCAAGTGTTTATAGATATGTTTGATTTGAATCATTTAAAGTTTTAAATTCCAAAATTCAAGTTAACGTGTAAGTCATTATAAACTTTTAGATGCCGAAACTACTATCTTCTAATAAAATTTAAAGGTGCACCGACTTTACTTGTACGGTTTATAGTGGACAATGTGAAAACCTCACCCATATATGCAAGATCCCCCTACCAAACGTTCTTTCGATAACTACCATTCCCACCAAAAAAACGTCCCAGTTTCAAAAGCGCTTTTCTCCAGTTCCATATACCCAAAGTATTCATAAATGACCAATATACCTACCTTTTTTTACCATGCTTGTAACTCCCTTTACATGCCCTGGTCAAAATCTTTGTTTTAAATTCTTCAATTAGGATCAAGATCACCCATCTCTATACCAATTCTGATGATTGGTAATCCAAATTGGTTGAGTGTTACAAAATTGGTAATAAATAAATAATTAATTAATTAAATCCTTGATTAGAGGATGTGATTTTTGAAGTAAAATTGCTACCTTATATAAAAAAATTCTCAAATATAACAATGAATTATATAATTTATTTCTACTTTTAATGACACTAACTCATATTTAAAGAAATCCAAAACTTCTTGAGAAGGGAATGTACTTGTAGATAGTGTTTAAAAACTCTGTTATTTTTTATCTGGATCACCAGCTTGGATTGGGAATTGCTCGGAACCGAATTGATTTTGGGATAGTATCGGCTCGAGCCCTATTTTCCCATGGTTTTTTTTTTTTTAAAGTTTATTTAAAGTTTTATTAGGTCTCCTCTAAATCCCCACTCTATAAACTCTATTTTTTATATATATATTAATAAAGCCAATATGCTTTTAAAAATAGTACTTTTGTCATTTAAGAAAAGTGGAGGCGATTTTGGTCATCCATATTTACTACCAGTCTACCAGTGGAGGGGCCAAAGAACGGGTCTCCACCGCCGTGTTTCTTTCAAGGATTAATGCATTTTGGAAATGCGGTTTCAGAGGTTTGATTCATAGAAAGATTTGTAACGTAGGGTTTCTGATTCTTCATTCAAGATCAATTCGGAGCTGGAATTTCTCGTGCTGCGTCTTTGACTGCAGAGATTCTTGTATATTGGAATTACGGTTTCAGTAACTTGATTCCTGAAAAAATTGGATTAGGATTTTTGTTTCAGAGTCTTCATAAATGCGAAATTTGAGCAGGATTATCTTTGTTATAAGGGCATATATCTTTGGAATTAGGTATGCAGATTCTTTGTTCGTAAACACTGAATTAGGGTTTTGGATTGGGATCTTGGTGAATTTCTTAAGAAAAATTTGGAGCCATAATTTTTCAGTTTCTCTCTGTAATTGCAGGTAAATAGAAGATAATCTTCTTTTTCTTTTTTGCCAGACAATGGCAACAACAGGCATCAATTATATCCCGGCCAAGCTGGTAATTTTTTCTTCTTCAATTATCATATTTATTTTCGTTATTTTGGAAAATGTATATTGAATGTGTCTTATTCTTTGCTTGATTGAATCCATTATCAATTGAATGTTGCATTTTGAATATTATTTCTGTTCTTTATACCTCATGCTAACTTATTAATTTAAACTTTTACCCCTAAAATTGTATAATGATAATTTTTAAATCTAACAATATATGTGTTTCAATTGTAACAAGGTTTTTTAAAGATTTTTGGAGAATATCTGTATCCTTCTTTTTTTTTCTTTTTTCATCGTATGAGCTTCGATCATTTGTTGTGGTAAAATCATAGTTCTTCTTGCCATTTTTATTGAACCCTATATCCTTTTATTCATGATTATTTTACCGTCTTGGAAAATTTACAATTTGTTATTTTATATCACTTTCAGTAAAAAGAAGTAAAAGTTTAATTGCTGTGGATTTTCACTTTCTTTGGTAATATGGATATCATGAATTTTTCTGTGCCAATGCTCAGTGAATTGGCCCTCTCCCTATGGGCGAGGCTGAGTAGCCCCCCAGTTGTATGTACAATTCGGGGTACATAAAAAAAAATTTTGAAAACCTAGAGAAGTTTATAAAATATGGGAATGTTGTATAGTTTTTTTATGTGATTTGAATATTTTTGGAAATGATTGGTGAGTGTTTTTTGCCATAACCCCTCCTCTTTTTCTGTGCTTTTTTAAGCTTATTCGTACTTTTAAAGGTTGTTTTTGGTTTTATTTTACTTTTATTAGCTTCATTTTATTTCATTTTTAAATTTTCTTGGGCCTTTTTTGCCCAGGAAACTCGCTCGAGTGTCTCAGCTTGGCCAAAGGCTGAGTACCTTGACTGAGTCGAGTTTTGAAACACTGTTCTGTGCAAATGAAATGCCATTTGCGATTGTGACGGAAATATGATTCCCCATTTTTGGAATTTTCTTCGGAAAACCCTTTTGTAGTTCTTTATTCTTCTTTGTTTCTTTGAACACTTATGCGAAATTTTCTTTTTGAAAACTTGGAATGATAGTTTCATTCAAGCAACATCTTTCTTGATTCTGTTTAAACATTTCAATCTCTTTCCCTTGTATAAAGGTCTGAATAATTTCTTTCTGAATTCTATCCCTTTTTTTTTTGTTTTATATTGGATAACAACTTGTTTTGTTACTCCTGTTTCTTTATTTATGTTGTTCTCTGAAACAAAAGAGTGATGGTCTTGGCAGGTCCTGCTGGGGGAAATGGGAACAGGAAAATCTAGCCTTGTACTGAGATTTGTCAAGGGACAATTCTTTGATTATCAGGTTCTTTCTTTTCCTTCGTATTTCTTTTTGTAAACATTAATTCTTAATATTCAAGTATTGGGTTCCTTTTCTTTTTTTGTGATGAATGTTATTGGGTTCGTTTTCTTCCATTATACAAATCATCCGAAGTAAAATAGGCTTATGTTGAAGAAGTTGTCCCATTTCATAATAATTTGCAGGAATCTACAATTGGAGCTGCCTTCTTCACTCAAACACTTGCTGTGAATGAAACCACTGCCAAGTTTGAGATATGGGACACTGCAGGCCAAGAAAGATATCACAGCCTTGCTCCCATGTACTATCGTGGGGCAGCTGCAGCCATAGTTGTCTATGACATCTCAAACACTGTAGGTTTTATTGAGATTTGATCCTATCCTCGTGCATGCAGAGTTTAACTCTTAATTTTTGTTCAGTTATTTTTTTATTTGTTATGTATTTCAAAATTTTCATTTAATTTTCATCATACTGGTGTAGGTTGATGGATGAAGATCTCTCTCTCTCTCTCTCTCTCTCTCTCTCTCTCTCTCTCTCTCTCTCTCTCTCTCTCTCTCTCTCTCTCTCTCTCTCTCTCTCTCTCTACTCTCTCTCTCTCTCTACTCTCTCTCTCGT